ACCCTGAGTAGGTCAGGAAGCTACTGGAGGACCTGGGACAGTGAAGCAACATAATCAGGCCTCTGTCTTAAAAAGATCACTCAGGCTGATCTCTCAAGAGGGGACTGCCGGAGGACAAAAATGAAAGCAGGGGTCATAGGATGCTAGCAGGATGCTACTGCAGTGGTTCAGATGAGAGGAGATGCTGGCTTGGACCAGGGTAGGAGTGGTGAAGATAGTGAGAAATGATTAAGTTCCTGTAGGCTGAAGCAGACAGGAATTGTTGATGGAGTGGATGGAGGGTGTAAGAAAAAGAGAAGACAAGGTCAAATCCAGGGTTTGGCTAGTGCACAGGGACAGAGTTGCTATATACTGAGACTGGGAAAGACTAGAAGAGATCCTTTTCTCCTTGGGGGAATTTGTGACATACTGAAGTGTGAGATGACTAGCAGACATCAGAGTGAAAAGGTTTAAGAATGATAATAGTGAAACCTATCTACCAAAACAGGCCATTTGGTGCTCTTATATTTATTCATCTAATCTTCACAACAATCACATGAAGTGTGCATTAATTGCAAAACCAGTAAGTGCAAGTAATCTGGCTCTGAAGGCTATGCCCTTGATTCCTATGCTATATTGCTTCTAAGATGGAAATACCATTATGGAGTATAGGGGAGATGTATGGAGATATAAATTTCAAAACCATCAGCATATATTACATAAATGATATTTAAAGCCATCACACTGTGGATAAGATAATTAATGGACAGGTGTAGGCTGAGAAGACTCCACAGACAAAGGGGAAAACTGGGAAAGTATGATCCCTGAACTCCAAATGAATAGTGTTTCAAGGGGGAGTGAGAGATGGGTTATGTCAATTGCTGCTGATAGTCTGAGTAAGGTGACAGGACTACTGAAATAGTAATATAAAAGAAGATAAGAGCAGCTGTGGTGGGGTGGTGGAGGTAAAAGTTGTGGAGATGATTAAATGGGTTCAACAGAAGAAGGAACCGAGGGTACCAAGAAGAAACATTAAAAAAAAAAAAGATGGTATATTTTTATGCTAATGGATGATCCACTAGATCCACTAGGGAAAGAAAACCGATTATAGAGGAGAGAAAGAGTAACACTGCCAGAATAAGTAACAGTTGGAATAATAAGAATCTGGCACAGTTGTCCTCTGCAAGCAGCATAGATAGTTCATCCCTTGAATAGGAGGGAAACGATATATGAGCACAGATGCCCTTTTAAAGAACAGGACCCAATACCCAAAGGATTATAAATCATTCTATCGTAAAGACACATGCACGGGCCAGGCATGGTGGCTCATGCCTGTAATCCCAGCATTTTGGGAGGCTGAGGCGGGTGGATCATGAGGTCAGGAGTTCGAGACCAGCCTGACCAACATGGTGAAACCCTGTCTCTACTAGAAATACAAAAAAATTAGCCAAGCGTGGTGGCATGCGCCTATAATCCCAGCTACTCATGAAGCTGAGAAAGGAGAATCGGTTGAACCCAGGAAGCGGAGGTTGCAGTGAGCTGAGTACTGTACACTAGCCTGGGTGACACAGCGAGACTCCATCTGAAAAAGAAAAGACATGCACATGTATGTTTATTGCAGCACTATTCAACAGCAAAGACTTGGAACCAACCCAAATGCCCATCAATGATAGACTGGATAAAGAAAATGTGGCACACATACACCATGGAATACCATGCAGCCATAAAAAAGAATGAGTTCATGTCCCTTGTTAGGGACGTGGATGAAGCTGGAAACCATCATTCTCAGCAAACTAACACAGGAACAGAAAACCAAACACCACATGTTCTCACTCATAAGTGGGAGCTGAACAATGAGAACACATGGACACAAGGAGGGGATTATCACAGACCAGGGCCTGTCAGGGGGTGGGGGCAAGAGGAGGGAGAGCATTAGGACAAATGCCCAATGCATGTGGGTTTTAAAACCTAGATGACAGGTTGATGGGTGCAGCAAACCACTATGGCACATGTATACCTATGTAACAAACCTGGATGTCCTGCATATATATCCCAGAACTTAAAGTATAATAAAAAAAGAACAGGATCCAGAATGAAGATAAGCACTAACTACAAGTTGCCATAGAGGAGAAAATTTAGGAAATATAAAATAGAATGTAGATTTCAATACACTAATTCAAGAGTGGAGTCATAAATGCCATGAAATCCTTTACTCTCAGGAATTAGGTTAAAACAACATAACCACACACTACTTTTCAACCATGCAATCTCTAAACCTTAACCATTTCTAATAGTGCCATTTAGCAACTGTAAAAACATAAAAACTTGAAAAATCGTATTTGGCAGTACATTAACAGGATCTGTTAGAACAGATTATTATAATATTTTTGGTATTTTTGTTTTTGAGATGACGTCTCACTCTGTTGCCCAGGCTGGAGTACAGTGGCGTGATCTCAGCTCACTGCAACCTCTGTCTTCTGGGTTCCAGTGATTCTCCTGCCTCAGCCTCCCGAGTAGCTGGGACTACAGGTGCCTGCCACCATGCCCAGCTCATTTTCTATATTTTTAGTAGACACGGGTTTCACTATATTGGCCAGGCTGGTCTCGAACTCCTGACCTCGTGATTCACTCGCCTTGGCCTCCCAAAGTGCTGGGATTACAGGCATGACCTACCATGCCCGGACTATTTTTGGGGATTTTAGACAGAAGTGGGTGCTACACAGAAATGAATCAACTCCTAGAGAGGAGTTCACAAACTCAAATGCCTGTAAGAGTTTAAGGCAGATCACAAATGAGTGAAGCAGGGTGAAGGCCAGGGACAATAGAGAGTTGCAGGGATTGTGGCAAACAGGCAAAGGGCATAGCTGCTACTCAGCTCAAGCCACTGTTGCCACATAGAAAGCATGCTGTTTTGCCAGGTCTGCTAATTCGTAAGATAAATAACCTACTTTTTATATAAAGGCTCTGTGAAGGCCATATACTCTATGTTTGGGGAAGTATTCAGGCCCTTGGGCTGTCTAGCGCCTCTGCATTAGATACTTCTTCATTGATTATAATTAGGGCATACCCGAGGAAAGCAGAGGCTAATGCTTTTTGAATGACAGAACATCAACATGGGGTAGGTGAAAGAATGTTTCACCATGTTTCAGAAAACCTTGGTTTCAGTGTAGGCACTGCCATTTAGTATTAGGTGGGTGAACTCTCTGAGCTTCTGTTTATTCATTTGTAAAATGCAGTTTCATGAACTACCCTGTCCAATTCACTGAACTGTTGTGAATGGCAAATTAGAAAGTAGGTCAAAGCACATAATAAACTATAAGGCTCTACATAAATACAAGTAAATGGCTTTAAAAAGAGATCTAATAGGGTGACCTAAGATTTCCTGTCTCTGTTGAATCAGCTTCTTCATAAAATGGGAATACAGATTACTTAGCTCATAGGATTCCTCAAATACATTAAAATCATAAAAACCTTTTTTCAAATGTTAAGTGCCACATAATTATTTGGTAATACAGTATTTGCCTAGTACAGCCAACCATGCTAATGAAGCTATATGTAATAATCCCTAAAAAGCTAAGTGCATTATTGGCTTTCCTACAGCAATGAGCAATTTAACTAGTTTGGAAAAAGTTACTTCAGGTCCTCATTTTTTTCCCCCTTTTACAATGTTTGTAAGCTTACAATGGATTGCAGGCCCATAAGAGACCCAGGTTTATCTGCGAAAGTTTCTGGAGGCACTGCTCCTATCAGCTAATGACACAACAATAGGGAAGTGATGGTGGTCAGGTCCAAGAGGAAACTTACGGGAAAAAGGAAGAAGTTTTCCTGGCTATGAGTCATAAATTCAAAATCTGGGCTAACAGTTCTTCTATCTACTTTTATGTAAAAGTGTTTAACAGAAACACTTCTTCATGACTGTTGTTCTGTTTATCCTGGATTATTAAACCACACATGATTCAAAGAATAACAAAGTATCAAAATTTATGAGGAACCGTAATGGATAAAAACTCCCTCTTCATTGGGTGCAGTGGCTCATGCCTGTAATCCCAGCAGTTTGGGAGGCCAAGGCGGGTGGATCACTTGAGGTCCGGAGTTTAAGACCAGCCTGGCCAACATGGTAAAACCCCGTCTCTACCAAAAAAAAAAAAAAAAAATCTTCATTTTGTGCTTTCATCAACCACAAGTGACCTAACAAACTCAAGTCTCTTTTGCCAGTCTATTTATTGTAGATTAGTGTGGAGGCAAATTAAATGATGGCAACTTGAAAGATTTAAAAGATTCCAAGTTAAAGGAAAAATTACCATTTAAAAGCACATTCTGGGTAAGATTATGGATAATACTTCTCCTTCTCTGTTTTCCAAATTCTTTAAATGACTCCCTGTACAAACTTATATATTAATATAAAATCATCCTGACATAAAAAAAAATTCTCGAATAACATAAGAATTCTGGGTGCTGTGGCTCACGCCTGTAATCTCAGCACTTTGGGAAGCTGAGGTGGGCAGATCACTTGAGGTTAGGAGTTCAAGATCAGCCCAGCCAACATAATGAAACCCCATCTCTACTAAAAATACAAAAATTAGCTGGACGTGGTGGCCTGTACCTGAGGTCCCAGCTACTTGGGAGGCTGAGGCAGGAAAATCATTTGAACCCAGGAAGCAGAGGCTGCAGTGAGCTGAGATTATACCAGTCTGGGTGATAAAGGGAGACTGTCTCAAAAAAAAAAAAAAAAAATGCAGGCATACAACACACAAGCCATCCAGCAGGCTGTGCACAGTGGCTCATGCCTGTAATCCCAGCACTTTGGCAGGATGAAGTGGGCGATCACTTGACTTCAGGAGTTTGAGACCAGCCTGGGCAACATGGTGAAACCCTGTCTCTACAAAAAATACAAAAATTAGATGAATGTGGTGGCACATCCCTATAGTCCCAGCTACTCGAGAGGCTGAGTTGGGAGGGTCCCCTGAGCCTGAAGTTTGAGGCTGCAGTAAGCCATGATTGTGTCACTGCACTCCAGCCAGGGTGACACAGTGAGAACCTGTCTCAAAAAAAAAAAAAAAAAAAAAAAAAAAAACCCCCCCTCTAGCAGAATGCTACTTCATCCCTAGAAGACCTACTTCCTGGTCCCTCAACTGCTTCTGATATTTCTTTTTATCTTAAAAAAAAAAAAATACAATGTTAAGTTACTTTTTTATCAGAACACAGCATCGGAGGAGGGGAAGACAAAGCCTGCCATTGTTTGTTGTTGCTGTTGCTAAACCGCTGAAACACGTATTCTCGTGATGCTACCTGTGCTGCTTAGTTACTCTGAACATACTATTTTTTCATTCTACTAATGGTATGTCTTTTTTTTTTTTTGAGATGGAGTCTCACTCTGTAGCCCAGGCTGGAGTGCAGTGGCGTGATCTGGGCTCACTGCAACCTGCACCTCCCAGGTTCAAGTGATTCTCCTGCGTCAGCCTCCCGACTAGCTGGAACTACAGGCATGTGCCATCAAGCCCGGCTAATTTTTTTGTATTTTTAGTTGAGACAGGGTTTCACCCTCTTGGTCAGGCTGCTCTTGAACTCCTGACCTCAAGCAGTCCACCTGCCTCAGCCTCTCAAAGTGATAGGATTACAGGTAGGGGTGGGCCACCGGGCCTGGCCAGTATGTCTTTTTTTGGAAAACTAAGTACTTATGTGTGAATAAATGTAAGAAAATGATTGCTTAACAGTAGCATATAAATTTAAAGTCGGGAATGATGGTGATGTCAAACAACCACAGACTGTCCACATGGTTGGCCGAGATAGTGATAGTTTTGCTTTCTGATGGTTCAATGTACATGAACTTTGTTTCATGCACAAAATTATTAAAAACATTACATAAAATTATCTTCAGACTACATGTATAAGGTCTTATCTTATAAAACACAAATAAATTTTGCATTTAGACTTGGGTATTATCCCCAGAATATCTCATTATATATATGCAAATATTCCAAAATCTGAACAAAATCCAAAATCCGAAACCCTTCAGGTCCTAAACATTTTGAATAAGAGATACTCAACATGTAGTAAGATTTAAATATTTCCAAATAAATAAAATGTCAGTTTAAACCATTGAAAAAGATGATTCTTTGATAGAGTCTCCCTCTGTTGCCCAGGCTGGAGTGCAATGGCACAATCTCAGCTCACTGCAACCTCTGCCTGCGGGTTCAAGCATCTCTTCTGCCTCAGCCTCCGGAGTAGCTGGGGTTAAGGTGTGTGCCAAGGTGGGCAGATCACCTGAGGTTAGGAGACCAGCCTGACCAACCAACATGGTGAAATTCCGTCTCTACTAATAAAGATGGTTCTTTAAAGCTTTAACTAAAAAAAAGTGATTGATTAGAAATAAAATCCAAAGTTAAATTACTACTCTATAAAAAGAAAGTTAAAGTGAGTTTCTAAGAAGCTCTTTACTTACTAGCACCTTTTAAGGTAAAATCTTTTTTTTTTTTTTGAGGCAGAGTCTTGCTCTGTTGCCCAGGCTGGAGTGGAGTGCAGTGGTGTGATCTTGGCTCACTGCAACCTCTGCCTCCCGGGTTCAAGTGATTCTCCTGAGTCAGTCTCCCGAGTAGCTGGAAATACAGTTATGTGCCACCACGCCCGACTAATTTTTGTATTTTTAGTAGAGACGGGGTTCACCATGTTAACCAGGATGGTCTCCATCTCCTGACATCATGATCCACCACCTCAGCCTCCCAAAGTGCTGGGATTACAGGCATGAGCCACCATGCCCAGTGGTAAAATCTTTTAAACTTTACTTATAAATAATATGAAAATAGGGCCGGGCGCGGTGGCTCAAGCCTGTAATCCCAGCACTTTGGGAGGCCGAGGCGGGTGGATCACGAGGTCAAGAGATCGAGACCATCCTGGTCAACACGGTGAAACCCCGTCTCTACTAAAAATACAAAAAATTAGCTGGGCATGGTGGCGCGTGCCTGTAATCCCAGCTACTCAGGAGGCTGAGGCAGGAGAATTGCCTGAACCCAGGAGGCGGAGGTTGCAGTGAGCCGAGATCGCGCCATTGCACTCCAGCCTGGGTAACAAGAGCGAAACTCCACCCCAAAAAAAAAAAAAAAAAAAAATATGAAAATAAATTATGATTGTATAGCACAATGATTAAAAGTGTAGGCTCTGAAGTCAGATTATTTGAGTTCAAATCCAGTTTCTACCACTTATTATAAATATCTGTGAATTCAGTCAGGTTATTTAACCTCTGCAAACCTGTTTTCTCACTGTAAAATTGGAGAACTATTATTTCTGGGTTAAGGATTAAGTAAGATGATTAATAATTTTCTTTCTTATATCTTATAAATTCATCATGTAGCAAAAAAATGCAGTGAAAAGGCTGCCAAACAGTGTGATCCAGCTCAGCTACAGTGTAGGTGCATCATGGCCCCAGTATACACAGCAATAAATACTGTGACCTCAGGATTGATTTTGAGGGGAGAGCTTTGTTCCTTAACCCACTCCATGCTCCTGAATAGCGTGCACCACTGCATTCAGCTAAAATAAATACTTTTAACACTATTTTTCTAGAAACCAAATCAGTATTTTCTATAATCTGGCCTTCATTTTTTCTATGATGCCTTATCTTGCATAGCCTTATCTGCTGTTTTAAGTAAACTAGACTTATTAAAACTGGTCACTTGAACAATAGTTAAAATTGTATGATAATTCTGGCAATGTGTAATTGCTTTCAGAAACTCTATTTGGGAAAAAACAAATATATCACAAAAAGTTTCCTTAACAATTATTAATTTCCTTAACAAATATATGCCTATTTATAATGCTATTCTACACAGGAAAGAAATAATCCGATAATAAGATTCTTTCTAGATATGTATCACATATTCTAACAACCTATTAATCTGACTCAGACCCAAAATGTCTATTAAAAAATGTATTGTGACATATGTGGATACATTACTTGACTTTTTATTTCAGACTGACAGGAGTAACTGAATTAAATCATTAGATCAAAACACTTCAAATTTGTTTACATTAGTATAAAGGTGACCTAAATTAGAACAAGAAAATATAAAAATGAGTTATAGTTAAAACATTTAATTGAGAAACAAATGTGAATTATTTGTTCTTTAAAACAAACTTCCAAAATAACAAAATCATGCAGTAGAAAACAAATTGTAGGATTTTGCTAATCACATAAATTCTTAGTAATTTATACTGTCATCTAATGACAGTATTTTTCTCTTTTATTTATTTATTTATTTTTTAATCGAGGCGGGGTTTCACCACGTTGGCCAGGCTGGTCTCAAACTCCTGACCTCAAGTGATTCACCCACCTCAGTCTCCCAAAGTCCTGGGATTACAGGCATGAGCCACCATGTCCGGTCAGTATTTTTCTCTTATACTGTCTCAGTCTGAATTAGTTTTAGCACTTAATCAAAACTAAACGATGATAAACTCAGACACAAAAAATGTTAAAAATATGTTTACTGATATGTGTACAGCCACTCCATCTATATATACATACACATATATATATTTTTATACTTTAAGTTCTGGGGTAATTGTGCAGATCTTGCATAATTGTTACATAGGTATACACATGCCATGGTGGTTTGCTGCCTCCATTCCCTCTTCACCTCATTAGGTATTTCCCCTAATGTTATCCCTCCCCAATCTCCCCACCCCCTGCTATGGCTCCCCTAGCCCCTGACCCCCCAACACACCCCAGTGTATGATATTCCCCTCCCTGTGTCCATGTGTTCTCATTGTTCAACACCCACTTATGAATGAGAACATGTGGTGTTTGGTTTTCTGTTCTGGTGTCAATTTGCTGAGAATGATGGTTTCCAGATTCATCCATGTCCCTGCAAAGGACATGAACTCACCCTTTTTTATGGCTGCATAGTATTCCATAGTGTATATGTGCCACATTTTCTTTATCCAGTATATCACTGATGGGCATTTGGGTTGGTTGCAAGTCTTCCCTATTGTAAACAGTGCTGAAATGAACATATGTGTGCATGTGTCTTTATAATAGAACAATTTATAATCCTTTGGGTATATAGCCAGTAATGGGATTGCTGGGTCAAATGGTATTTCTATTTCTAGATCCTTGAGGAATTGTCACACTGTCTTCCACAATGGTTGCACTAATTTACACTCCCAACAGTGTAAAAATGTTCCTATTTCTCCACATCCTCTCCAGCATCTGTTGTCTCCAGATTTTTTTTTTTTTTTTTTTTTTTTTTTGAGACGGAGTTTTGCTCTTGTTACCCAGGCTGGAGTGCAATGGCCCGATCTTGGCTCACCGCAACCTCTGCCTCCCGGGTTCAGGCAATTCTCCTGCCTCAGCCTCCTGAGTAGCTGGGATTACAGGCACGCGCCACCATGCCCAGCTAATTTTTTTGTATTTTTAGTAGAGACGGGGTTTCACCATGTTGACCAGGATGGTCTCGAACTCTTGGCCTTGTGATCCGCCCGCCTTTGCCTCCCAAAGTGCTGGGATTACAGGCCTGAGCCACCGCGCCCGGCTGTCTCCAGATTTTTTAATGATTGCCATTCTAACTGGCATGAAATGGTATCTCAATGTGGTTTTGACTTGCATTTCTCTTATGATCAGTGATGATGAGCATTTTTTCATATGTTTGTTGGCTACATAAATGTCTTCTTTTGAAAAGTGCCTATATATATCCTCCACCCACTTTTTGATGGGGTTGTTTTTTTCTTGCAAATTTGTTTTAGTTCTTTGTAGATTCTGGATATTAGCCCTTTGTCAGACACGACCGCCCCATATATTCTTAAATTTAAGGAGGTCTGAACACTGAATAATCATTATTTGAAAACCATTTACAGGCTGGGCTTGGTAGCTCACACCTGTAATCCCAGCACTTTGGGAAGCAGAGGAGGATGAATCATGAGGTCAGGAGTTTGAGATCAGCCTGGCCAACCTGGCAAAACCCTGTCTCTACTAAAAACGCAAAAATTAGCTGGGTGTAGTGGCAGGCACCTGTAATCCCAGTACTCAGCATGCTCAGGCAGGAGAATCACTTGAACCTAGTAGGTATAGGTTGCAGTGAGCCAAGATTGTGCCACTGCAGTTGAGCCTAGGTGGCAAGGGCAAGTCTCCATCTCAAAAAAAAAAAAAAAAAAAAAAAAAAAGAAAGAAAGAAAAAAAGGAAAAGCATCTACATAAACAATATTCTATATATGACAGATACTTGGTAGACTAATAATTAAGATGCTTTTTCTTAGATTAGCAATGCAGGTTAAAAATCGTAGCAGGATCCCTAAAGGTAAGTTTATCTACTTTTGCTTACTTCTCCTGAAATTTAGATTGGAAAAAAATTACACTGAATGTAAACTTTGGGGTATATATCATTTTTACTTGAATATTTCTTCCTATTTCTCTGTGAAATCAGGCATTATGTAAAATCCACTTGTTAAAAATATTGGTAGGCTGGATGCAGTAGCTCACGCCTGTAATCCCAGCACTTTGGGAGGCCAAGCCGGCAGGTGGATGACAAGGTTGAATACCAGCCTGGCCAACATGGTGAAACCCCATCTCTACTAAAAATACAAAAATTAGCCGGGCATGGTGGTGGGCGCCTGTAATCCCAGACACTCGGGAGGCTAAGGCAGAGAACTGCTTGAATCCGGGAGGGGGAGGTTGCAGTGAGCCGAGATCGTGCCTTGCACTCCAGCCTGGGCGAGAGAAGGAGACTCTGCCTCAAAAAACTATTGCTAATATTTAATATAAACAGAGTTTTATGAGATCAAATAATATTTATTTTAATACCTACTGTTGATGAGATAATTCTCTTTTAATCTACTTAATTTATTAGAATTTCTTTATTTTTGGAGATAGTGTCTCACTCTGTCACTCAGGCTGGAGTGCAGTGGCATGATCTTGGTTCACTGCAACCTCTGCCTCTTGGGTTCAATCGATTCTCCTGTCTCAGCCTCCCGAGTAGCTGAGATTACAGGCATGCACCACCACACCCAGCTAATTTTTGTATTTTTGGTAGAGACAGGGTTTACCATGTTGGCCAGGCTGGTCTCAAACTCCTCTGGTGATCCACCCAACTCGGCCTCCCAAAGTGCTGGGATTACAGACATGAGCCACCGTGCCCAGCCTATCGTCTTAGAATCATGAGATTTAGTATCAATAGGCCCACAGATAATATCATGGATAGCAACCTTCTAATTCATTAATATCTATATACAGTCAAACAAATTCCTGTATTATAAAGAAAGGAACGCTGTACTACTTTTAAAAATATGTCAGTGCTACACTAGGGGTGTAACTCCTTATAAAGCAAGCATGAATGTGGCATCAAACTTACTTTTCCAAAGAAGCCTTTGAAGAACTTCTTTTCCTGGAGGAACAGGGGGACAAGTCGAGCGCTATTATTGTATGGGCTAATTGTCCTAGGGTTTCACACCAATAAGCACATACAGAAATTGGGGAAAGGAAAAAGTGGGAGAAGGGGTGGGGGTGAGTTTTAAAGAGTTATCCATACCAGGAGTGACAGGGAAAAAGGAAGGTGCATGAAAATGCAGGGAAACACACAGTATGGCCTAAGAATCCATGGAAAGAGTGAGAAGAAATCAGAACCTGTATCCATGCAGAGCAACAAGTTAGTTTAGTAATCGCTATTTACATTTAAAACAGAGATCTTCCAAATTTGGCAGTAGAGAAAAAGATAGGGCATACTGGTTTGGTGAGATTTGCATTTTAAACTTTATAATAGTGAGTAGAAAAAAGAAAACTGGTTCCATACACATTTTTAAAATTTAAAATTGGTGGTCAGCTACGTGAAATTCATCAATTAAAAAAAAGTTCACATTCAAATGACCACATAATCACATTAAAAATGCAATATGTAAAATTAAATGAGTATGCATCAAAGGTCTTTGTCATACTTTTTCTTAGTGAGTTCAAGATATCACTTAGAAACTCCATACCATTTAAGGGGAGCTTGACCACTGGCTTTCCATTTACTTACATTAGTATCAATCTATGTGTATGTGCATGCTGATCAATTCCACAACATATAAAAGGAAATAACATATATATTCTATTCCAAAAACAGAATAAGTTATCTATTAAGGTTACAAGGCTAATGTTTATACAAGAGCTGAGAAAACATCTATCTTAAGAACCAAACGATGTCTGTGGGCCATAACTGAAATTTAAGAAATAGAGTTTTGTTTTCTTTATAAAAGCTACTGTTTTATTATTTTTGTTTGTTTGTTTTTTTGAGACAGAGTCTCACTTTGTCGCCCAGGATGGAGTGCAGTGGCATGATCTCAGCTCACTGCAACCTCCGCCTCCCGGGTTCAAGCAATTCTCATACCTCAGCCTACCGAGTAGCTGGGACTACAGGCGTGTGCCAGCACGCCCAGCTAATTTTTGTATTTTTAGTAGAGCTAGGGTTTCACCATGTTGGCCAGGCTGGTCTCGAACTCCTGATCTCAAGTGATCTGCCTGCCCTGGCCTCCCGAAGTGCTGGGATTACAGGCATGAGCCACTGTGCCCAACCTAAACCTGTTATTTTAAAATAAAGAAACTTGCATTGACATTTATAAGTATACAATTCTGAAACTATCTGGATAAGAGAGGCATAACTATGTATGGTATCAGCACCAATTTTTAAACACCATTTATAAAAACTGGTCACCAATTAAAATCTGTAGAATTTTCACAAATTAGATGGGCTTCAACTCACCCAAGCTAGATTAAGTTTACATTTCCTAGCTGTGGTTGAAATACTTTAAGCCTTTACTTTTTGTAATGATCAGTTTTTAATGTTAGATAAATGTCTAGAAAAAGATAAATGAAATTTGACTGTTTTACATAATTCATAAACTATTCAATGCTCTCAAACACTGGAAAGTTTGTTTTCCCTCTAAGCTTTGAAAATCACAAATAGCAAAAAATATTTCCACAAAACATTTTGAACTGCAACTGGAAAAATAATAAAGTAACTGGGTAGTTATCACAATAAGACTAATATTATTTCTTCTGCCAAGTTTGGTGACCCTAGTTTTGTTAGACTATGAATAACCATAAGCTTTCAAGGATGCAGCCAAAGTTAAGATATTCACCATTCTTGAGGGACAGGAAGGTGAGGGAAGGAGATTGTTAATATTAAATTTTGCTCCTAGAAAAGCTATTGTTAAACATTGAACTTTCCCTCCTTTTATAAAATACCCAAGATGTTAATGAAAAAAGCTGGTGTGCGAAATGCATAAAAAGACAGTTATTAGAGAATAATTTTCTTTTAAAAAACATTTGTTATGATTCTTTTACCTGCTAAAACAAGAACACATATTAAAACAAATATATCAAATAGTGAATAAAAAAACCAACATATTAGAAACTGGTAGTAAAATGAAACTAGTTTAAAACTAAGACAGAGGCAGAGACATTTAAGAAACAATGGGAAGAAATGACCTTTTTAAATCAAGGGCATCTTGGACCAGAGTTAAGCAAGATAACCAAAGGCCTCATACACTTTTTATAGAATTGGTTGATATATGACAATAGTCTTCACCCTGCAGCTGACTATGCCATAATGGCAATAACAATGGGCAATAGTGACTTCCGTCATTTATCCTATTGAAGCTAAATCCCAAAGTAGCTAATCAGTGAAGTTATGTCACAAAGTAAATAAGCTGAAAATAGCTGTCACTTGTACAGCAGGACAAAATAATAAAAAAGAAAAAAAATCAGAAAAATAAATAGCTGTCAGTAACTTTATGCACAGAAATTTTAAAAATTAACATATTTATGCAATGAGGAGCATATTTTTAAAACAGTATCTTGTTTAGTTATAATATCTTTTTCATTTGAGCATATCAAGTATGCAGATGACTTTTACTTGAAGTTAATGTATGAGAAGAACAGTATCCTAAGGACTTCCTACTTTCTACAAGATTCTCTGCATAGCTCTAGAAAGAGTATTTAAAAGGGGGATGTTTCATTGAATATAAGAAACAGGAAATTGACCCCAGTAACCCAAAACTTCAATTTCATATTTTTATAATACGTTTGCCAGTGCAAAGCTACATATAACATTTGCTCCAGATCTAGAATTTGTCTGAAAAATTTTAAATAACTTCTTGATAAAAAGTCTAGAAATGGTCAATTTTCCCTCAAAGTTTAAAAGTTAAAGTACATTTAGAAAATAATCACCAACATATCTAAAACTTTCTTTTTTATTATTTATTTATTTTTATAGAGACAGGGTCGCACTGTGTTACCCAGGCTGGTCTTGAACTCCTTGCTTTAAGTGATCCTCCCATCTCAGGCTTCTGAGTAGCTGAGATTGCAGGCACAAACTACTGCACTGAGCTTAAAACTTTCTTTTAGTCATTAAAGACCATAAGAAAATAAAGATCTTTATAAATATGCAAAACAGTTTTGTAAACTTAAAACATTAGTAAAATATTTGATTACGGTTACTGTAAGACTCGATTTGACCACATATTGCAGATAGGATTGTATTCTGTATATTCATTCTAGAAATATTTTTTTAGTTACTACTATGTGTCAGTCACTGTTCAATGCATATGAATAATTTTTTAAATGGCTATTTAGTTCCTAATTCTGATGAATATAAAAACATTAACTTTTATTATTTAAATACTCCTATGCCTTAAGCAATCACACTTATAGTCTATTCTCTTCTTGGTTTAAAAAAAAGGTAAAATAAAAAAAATCCACTGAAACATTAGTTTTAAAACTAGACAGTTAAATAGTGGCTATCTCTGGGACTGTAGGAGATTTCATTTTATTTGTGTACTTTTTTGGTTCATTTGTATTTTATACAATAAACATATTGCTTATATAATAAAGAGATGATCCTAATTAAAAGTATTTAAAAAAACAAAACTAGATAGTTAAGAGGATTAACTGCTCATTTAACGATGAAATACCATTTCTCAATATGTTCTGGGCAAACTTAAACCACCTCTAGCTTTTCCTTACTTACAGTGTCACATGAAGCCATACTTTGAATCAAAAGACTTTCTAAAGGCTCATTCCATAGTGGCCATTTCACCATAAGTTGTATAAATTATAGGATTTTAATAATTATTTATAGTTGTTTCAGGGCTATCTAGTCTGTTCATTGATTTGTTTTCAGTCATTAATGTAAAATATTCTTCAATGGACAAATAATTGCATTACTTTAAAAATACATTTTTAGCTAAAATCATCTTGTTTGTGTATTTGAGACAAGGGCTCACTGTGTTGCCCAGGCTGGTCTCAAACTCCTAGACTCAAGCAATCCTCCTACCTCAGCCTCCCAAGTAACCAATATTTTGTTTATTATTCTTCTAGATGAACTCAGAAAGAATTATTTCGTTACAGAAGAAATTAAATTTTTAATTCTCCTTTAAATGAGTTCTGACAAAATGGAAAATTAAATTATCTAAGACTATGTTTAAGTGGGGAATATATTTAGGTTGGCGTGGAAGATCTATAATTTCATGTACCGTAACACAAGGTCCCCTTAACATAAATGAGATTGGAGAGCACAGATAAGACTAGCAAAGGGTTGAATCATTTAAGAATTTTAATGATTGGCCGGGCGCGGTGGCTCACGCTTGTAATCCCAGCACTTTGGGAGGCCGAGGCGGGTGGATCATGAGGTCAAGAGATCGAGACCATCCTGGTCAACATGGTGAAACCCCGTCTCTACTAAAAATACAAAAATTGGCTGGGCATGGTGGCGCACGCCTGTAGTCCCAGCTACTCGGGAGGCTGAGGCAGGAGAATTGCTTGAACCCGGGAGGTGGAGGTTGCGGTGAGCCGAGATCGCGCCATTGCACTCCAGCCTGGGTAACAAGAGCGAAACTCCGTCTCAAAAAAAAAAAAAAAAAGAAAAAAAAAAGAATTTTAATGATCAAAATCTGAGGTAAAGAGTATGTACAGGTATACGTGTGTGTGTTTGTGTGTGTGTGTGTGTATGTCTATACCTTATTATTATTATTTAGTTCTTTGTATACTATAGCCAGTTACTTTTCTCCTTTCCCTTCTACAACAGATTCAGGTACTTACTCAAAAATTAAGTCTACCTCTCTGAGTTGGTTGCTTCCTTGATTTTCTATTTTTTATATTCAGGAATTATAGATAAGAAGTAGTGTAGAATATGCCAAGAAGCAGAAAACTTCTGATTACTAAGCAAATTCAGGGAAAAAAAGCACACATTAGTAGTCAAACTTATGGCAGCCCACCATACCAGCAAACCCAGACCAACATGTATTTAATGCTATTGGGGCCACAGCATGCAGAAGTAATGCTTAAAGCTTTCACAGCAAAGTGGGGAAAGGCCATATATTAGAGAAAAGGAAGGTTGTGAAGAGGGCTATCAGATCTACGGAACATTCCTCAAAACTATGAAAATCTGAAATTAACACTTTAATCTGAATCTTTATGAACTCCAAACTCATTCTCTCCTTTCACTGAATACACAGGCATGTACCTGAGATGTGTTCTATGGCATAGGAGGCAGAGGAAACATTAGTTACCCTGGGAAAGGGCTCTCTACTTCAAGTGTGCTAAAGTTTATGTAAAAGGCAGTAGAAATAGACTGTTTATGTTAGAGGTGCATAGGGAAGAAAATTGGGGAGTAGGAGTCAAGACAATGTCTCCAAAAAGGAAACCTCACCAGGTATCAACACAGATATCTCTATCCTTTACTTTTCCCCAGGAAGCTATTTTTTATACCATATTTAAAATCCATAATTTATAGTCCAGTTATCACAGTTAGGTTAAGATGTTACTGCAACCGTTTTATCCTAGTCTTAGAATACTATTCTTCTATCAAATTTCACAGCATTCATTTCATATGGGTTATAAATCAAAAGCACCTTTAACATAATGTCTGGCCTAAATTGAAGAGGCTGGTCTTACAATATATATCTTTGGATGGACAACATGAGATGCCTTTAAATTTTTTTATTATTTAAGAAAACTTTTTTTGAAATTAATAGAGACAGGGTCTCCATATGCCCAAGCTGGTCTCGAACTCCTGGCTTCATGCAATCCTCCTGCCTCAGCCTCCCAAAGTGCTAGGGTTACCGGAGTGAGCTACTACGCTTGACTGAGATGCTCCTTCTTAGCAAGCCCACATCATTTTAACAGAAACACAGTTCTTACTGGGTCACTAAAATTTACTGTGAGCAAAATCCTTTAAGAAACAATTGATAGCATATAGATCAACATTGGCAATCATCAGATACATACAGCTTTCAATCTTTTTACAGCATCTTCACAGATGTGCATTCCTCTTGATTCATCAACTTCTACATGGCCAAGGTACTGTAGAAAGAAGGAAAAGTTAGGGCTATTGCTGTTTACCAAGTAGCTACTATACAGTAAACTTTACATTTAAATCGAATACAGGTTGAACATTCCAAATCTGAAAAAATTTGAAATCTGAAACACTTCTGGGTGTCAAGCATGTTGGATAAGAGACACACAACCTGTATTGAAATTCCTACACTAAAAAAATACACCTCTATTGTAAAATAGTTCAGATAGTGTTACTTTATATATTCTCATGTCCTTATAGGAATAAGATTTACAATAATTATTTCAAAGAAGTGTTATAGGTGAGTAAGTGAAGTACACAGTAGACACTAAATATTACTTGAATCTACTGGATCTGAAGTGTAATAGGCTGTGCTAGAAACAGTTACTATGTCTCTACACATAAAAGCAATCCTAAGATAAAGTGTGTATATATATATATATCCTTAAAAAGGCACAAACAAAAATGGCAGTTTTTCAAAGGCTGAAGAAATCACACACTCCTTTTATGGGGAGAATATAAGATCAAGAGAAGGTAACCAAAACAAATTTTATGAAGGTATTACATCTGAGCTTTAAAAGATGCATAAAATTTGAAGAGGGAAAAACTGAAAGGTTGAAAAACTGTTTCAGGCTGAGAGAATTACATAAAGTTATAGGTGTGGAATACGATAACTATGTTTCAGTGCTGGGACTCAGAACACATTATGCCAAAGTATGGTGCTGAATGCTTTGAACTAAAAAAGAACCAAGGTCTAATCTTTTCTTGCCCTCCTGACTCTAACCCCTTCTTCTCCCCAAGAGCAGGAGGGGCTTTCTCTGAAGTTCTCTTATCTGCCTAAAGACAGATCCTTCAAAAAGGAGCTCAATTGTTATATACTCCCTCCCTAGAAATCTTATCAACTAGGTAGATTAACTGTATCACAGGAGAAGAGACTAAAGGTCAACACCCCAGACTCTCACAAGCTACCACCTATTCTTCTGAGGGCTGTTCCAGACAACTTGTATCACAGGAGAGACTTTTTATCTGCATAACAAGGCAACCTTTGCTCACTGTGCATTTCCTCCCCTCATATTCCCATAGGTTGTCACCACCTCCCCTCAAGTCCCTATTCCTTCTGCAGCTCAGGGTGCCATAAAAATGTCAATCATCTGGCCTTCTTCAAGTCTTGTATTTTGTGAGACTCTTATGTACAAACACATAATAAATTTTGCATTTTTTTTTCCTGCTAATCTGTCTACTGTCAGACTATCTCACATACTCAAATACTGAATGTTCAACGGGTAGAGGGAAAGTTCTCTTCTCTCTAGCATTAACAAGTATTCCTGTTTGGCCTGAATATGAAATACATGCAGCTGGGGAATTAAAGTGCTAAAATAAAGAGTCAGCACTTAACCCTAGAGACAATGGAGATCTAATAAAGATTTTTTTTTTTTTTTTGCAAGGTAGTAATATGATTCAAGCTGTACCTTAGCATGGGAAAAGTCCCGAGTTAAAAAAGCAGAGGGATGGGGCCAAACTAGAAAGGGTATCTCTTTTTTTTTTTTTTTTTTTTTTTTTTTTGAGACGGAGTTTCACTCATGTTACCCAGGCTGAAGTGCAATGGCGCGATCTCGGCTCACCGCAACCTCCGTCTCCTGGGTTCAGGCAATTCTCCTGCCTCAGCCTCCTGAGTCGCTGGGATTACAGGCACGCGCCACCATGCCCAGCTGATTTTTTGTAGTTTTAGTAGAGACGGGGTTTCACCATGTTGACCAGGATGGTCTTGATCTCTTGACCTCGTGATCCACCCACCTCGGCCTCCCAAAGTGCTGGGATTACAGGCTTGAGCCACCGCACCCAGCCGACAAGTGCTATCTTTTAAAAGAAAATTTAGGGTCTCGTTCCAGGTAAGATGGAGTAGACACACTACACTCTGTTCCTCCCACTGACTGAAACTGTAAAACCTGGACAGAATTCATGGAACAGGTAGGTACTTAAGCTTTCTGAAAAGTAAACAGAAGATGAATCGGAATAGAAGACCAGAATTCAAAGTACTGTGGAAACGGAAAGGAATTTACCTCCTCTTTCTCTCTTTGGTACCTCCAGCCTGAGAAAATAACTTTTATCTGAGGAATGCAGGTTCTTTGAATTATCAGGCCAAAAGAGACATTAAAATGAGACTGCAATCATGCCCTACTACACACTTTGACCTATTATC